ACATGAGATTAGAAAAAAAGAAAAACATTTTACAGATTAAGGGTGATATTAACAAATTGATATTTAAATTTTATGAATTGAGTTTTCACTAGAAAATACTATTTTCTTCATTAATTTGCAAAAATAGATTCAGTTATTATTTGACGAGTAGAAGGAAGGGTCCTGAAATGTTATGCTTGTACCACAAAACTTCACTAACCTAACTTTCATCTGACAGAACCAAGCAATTGTCACAATGCATTTTCTAACCTGTCTTCTTTAAACTTAAAACTAAATTCAGATCAATTGTTTATATGGGGTCTACTTTTCAGATTCCATGTTCATATGAGTTAGATCAAGTCCAGGTTAGTTTCACACTGGAAAATTAAAGTTATTAGTTAAAGCCAATTTGTCAAATAAAATAATTGCAACACCAGAGAATATGCAAGAGCTAACTAATATTCCCAAGATCTAAAGAGAAGCACTTAAATTCTGCAGCACAACTTATAAAAGAAAAAAAAAATCAATATCACTTAATTAGTGATCAGAATAACAGCAAGTGCATTGTTCCATTGTTTCTCTGGAATAGCTAGGGCAATTTTTTAAAAGTTATACTCACTTTGTCCAAGTTCTGCTTTCACCCACCTCCTGCCCAACAATTAGGAAATGACAAATTCTCTATACGTCACATTGTCTGCTGAATGATGACAGTATACGCTTAAAAAAAGTTAATTTATTTCATTTTGGTTTGGCAGTACCTTGGAGAAAATTACCGATATAAAAAAAAAAAAACTTGTATTATTCACTATTTTTTTTTTTTTTTTTTTTTTTAAATAATTTATAATTCCCAAGGTTAAATATTAAACATGTTTAGTTTACACAATGTAATGATGTTTGACAGTTTTCGTTTAAATAATTGACCAGGAGACACACAACCATTCCAGTGAAGCTCAGAATAACATGAGAAAATTTTTTTAAGTCTTGAAGTGCATAAAGTTTAAAGACAGTTTTTATCTCGATTCTTCAAAAATACTTTTTAACGGGGAATGTCAGTTCAAGTGTCAATAAGTTTTGCTCATAATTTAAATCACATACAAAATGTCAATTATGCTTTCCTACTATTAAGAAAAGGCCAAGTGTACATTTAATCTTCATTAAGACGACAAAAAAATGAATATAGAATAACTTCCTAATTCTTTTTTAACTTTCGAAATGATATACAATTTTGATGCGATTTAAAACTGACGTTTCTATGAATAAATGCCTATTGCTATGCACGCGCGCGCACACACACAGAAAACTACGAGATAGTGTGACTGTGCAATTGCATGCCATGTCTAAAAAGTGCATTTGTACCAGTGTCATGATTAAAAAGGAATAATGTTATTTATCAAAATAATGCAACAAGATACGAAATCATAAAACTCACTTTCTAGGCTACAGATGGAACACAATTGAGGAAACAAGAAGTTAAAAATGTTCAGCAACGAACGATAATAATACGAAGAGGAACTTTGCTGGTCAGGCAGAAAGCAGACAAGTGGAATTGGAGACAAGCAAGATAAATAGCGGCATATTTTCGCCATTCCACACACACACAAAATGAGAGAGAAAGACTTTAGTTTATACTTTACACTACAGAAATACAAATGTCAGTCAGCTGCTGTTTAAACCTCTATAACTTCTGACACGGACATTTACAATTTTAACTAAAATATCCTTTTGTGATGTATTCCAGAATTATGGAATGAGATAATCAAAATCTTGAAAATAGTGTTCTTTTTCCAGACACCTGTCGGAGTGAGGAAGGCCTAAGCGTAATACATGCCCAAAATATCGCAAACTGGGTGGTCGCGTCATTTTTTTTCTTAATAATTGGTTACCTCTATCTCTGTTATAAAATAGTGCTTAAAATTATAACATCAGGAATTTATCAATGCTCATAATTTCAGATTTCTTAAATGAAGTTTAGTAAGCTGTTATTTTTTTAATAAAAGAAAAGGTCATCCGGTTTGATTTCTTTTTTCACAGTTCAAAATTCATTCTTATTGATGGGGGGGGGGATAGAATTTTTAACTATCAGCAAATGTTAAGTCGAAGCGGAAACAGTTTTTTTTTTAAGATAATGCTTAAAATGTTGCCAAACGTTTCTGTGAATTATTTAATATCCTGCCTATATATAATCTTTGTTACTTTTTTTAAAACTTTTAGTAATCAAATGTACCAAGTTCATTTAAGCCTCATCATCATCATCCACATAAACTAAGTTTCTGAATGAAGGGCGTATGCCAAGTACAAGAGAATATCAAATTAACAATAATAAAAATAAAAATCAAGAACATTGTATGTTTATGAGCTTATTTTTAGATGAAAATAAAAATACTTTATTTATAAATCAAAGCAAAAAGATCTTCGTTGCGTATAAGTTGGCAGCAACATGGCTAACAACAGCTGCTACATTTCACAAGACTTACAAATAAAAAGTAACAGCAAGTGCTTCGACACATTTCTTTTATGACAAATTTCGGTTAGGATTATTACGTCTACTGCTTAAAAATATAATCATGTGTTTCATTCACATGAAATGATGAATGAATGTCTCAGCTTCTATAAAATAAGCTGAAAAATTGTTTGTTTTTTTTTTCAAAAAATAAACTGGATAAGTCTTAAAACTTAAAATTTTTTTAAAAGGATAATGAAAGAAAAAGAAACATTAATTAACAAAACTAAAATTATTACTAGTTTTGTGTTTTATAGAAAAAAAATTAAAAATTCGTTAAAACAAAAATAAAATCTAAAGTTAAAAACTAAAAACTTTTTTTTTAGTTTTTAACTTTAGATTTTAGTAAAAAGGAAGAAAAAAGTGAGAGAATTAAATATAATTTATCAATTTGTCAAAAACTGAACGCAACGAGATAGCAACAACTAAAATAGGTTGACTTTTTTTGTGCGGTGATGGATTAGCTATAGTTTTTTTTTTTTTGCCTTATCTCCACTCGAAGCAACTTAAAGAGAATTAATAAGAGTAACAATTGAAAATGGAATAGTAAGTGTTACTGTTCAAGAATGAAAAAAAAAAGACAATTTTTAGAACCTAACAAATGTAGCACTTACAATAGTTTTTTTAGTAAGAAAAAAAAAGAAATTATATCAAAAAACACTAAAAACTTGTCAAAAACAAAACATTTGAAAAGAGAAAGAACATGAAAGTTTTTAAGGATACAATTCAACTTGAGATTTAAAAATAAAATGTTTTTAGTAAAATAAATCATTTGATTTAGAGTTGGTAACAGTTCGTTTGAATAAACACTTTTATTTTAGTCTACCGATAAAAAGCGACAAAGCTGGCCTAGTATTGAAAAACAGTACAATTAAAGAATTCACGTGTTTCATGTGAACTGGTTATGCTGTTAAAAAGCAAAGACTACTCAATATTTCACAAAGACATCATTTTGCTGTCATTAAGAACAAAAGTTTTGATATTAAGATCATCTTGCGTGACGTCATTTGAGAGCGCGGTATTTTTGTTTCTTTTTGAGGTATGTTCCAGGAAATCTGTAAATGGTTGTAATTTTAATGACCACCGCTCATCGATAGACACAAAAATCAATTGTTAATATAATATTGTCAGAAAAAAATACATTTTTATTCTAAGTGACGGTTTTATGAACTTTTTAAGTAGGTACCACCACAGATACCTACGGTTTTTAAAAAATAAGTTTTATAGGAATTATTTACTTACTTGCTTTAAGTTTTAACGAACAATGACATTATTATTCGTTAAAACAATGCAAAACTATAACCATACTTTTGTTCTGGGTGATAACTATTTCAATCAAATGATCAACTGCAGGTGGACAAAAAGTTGTTAATAATACCATACCCGAATTTTTTTTTAAAAGTAATGGATAAATTTTATACCACAGGAAACCAAACATTAAAGGAGAATTGATGCAAATAACATTTTCTAAGGTATTTTCTTATTTACGGTTTGCAAAACTAATGAAAGAAAGAAGCATTGCTTGCTTTTTTTATGGTAGAAAAGAGACAAACATCGGCAATAAAAATGTAGTTTCAAATTTATTTGCTTCCCATAGTTCCAGATATTGACTTGTGTTTCAAGAGGAACACATCTGCTAGAGACAAATTAGTTTTTTTTTATGACAGTGATCCAATGGAAGTTACACGCGTACATCAAAACATCTGCCTTTGAATTTAGTAATAAATTGCCTCAAACAGTGAGAAAAAAAAAGACGAAAAAGTATTAAAGACAAGTTCATACGTAAAAAAAAAAACAAAGATTTAAAAATTCATTGATTTGAGAAATCTTTATCAAGTGTTTTTTTGTTTAATAATCACAATTTAAATCTTAAGACAAAAAAGAAAATACTGAATTAAAAATTTGAACAAGGATCAATTTCTCTTGAAAAAAAAAAACAAAAAACAAAACAAACTGAAATTTCAACAAAGTTTAAGCTCAGAAATTTTCAAAGGGGGTGGATTTTTCATGATCATGTCATGTCAGGTATGATCGTTCAACTTTATGAATGAAAAATTACACTAATAATGTATATTTATTTAAACAAGTGTTTTAAATTTCATTCTTAGCATGGAGAAATGCAATTCGAGCTTTGTTTCCTATATTTTAATTATTCATTTATCTTGATAATTGCAAAATTTATCGCAACGACGAAAGTTAAATAAATTAACTTAAAAATACAACAAAAAACGTTTGGATTCTGAACAATTAACTTTTTGTAAGCAGACGAAAAGAGCTTTTCTCATTAAGAAAGTTACAAATGGGTATTATCGAAGTTTTTAACAAACTTGAGCACAAAAAATTAAAAAAATCCCCCTTTAATACACACACACATATATATATATATATATATATATATACATATATAGCAAGAAGTACACAGTGTCTAAAAAGATACAAAATTGTGATGTAGGCAAAAGAGACTTTTCTTAAAGTTTGTTTTAAGTTCTTTTAAATAATAATAACGATAATAATGACCTACCTGTTTTTATTCTCTGGATCGAAATCCCCAGCCATTTTTCTAAGTTTAAAAAAATTAAAATAAAAAAAAAAAATATATGTATATATTAAAAAATCCTAAAAATAGTCTTGGGGGTAGGTATGTTATAAAAAAAGTACTGTTTCAGGTCCATTAAATGGTACAACTGGTGCTACTTTTTTACGTTGATTTCTTTTTTTTCCACTTTGTTGAACATTTACATGTGAGCAGTCACTGTTGTTGTTTTTTGGTCTTTTATTTAGTTTTTGTTTATATCTTTTTCTTTTAAATCCAAAGATTATATACATAAAACCGAATAAATGGCATATGTACCTACTGCCAATTATGTTCTATTGTTAGAGTAGCAAACAACGGCAAGAAAGTTGCACATTTTGCGGTCCAGGTTTTTCCAACTTGTCAGTTACGCCAACTCAAAATGGCGGTGTTAAAACACGAGACAAGCAGTATAATTATTTTTTTTTCACTTTTCCAAGTTGCTTTAAAAATACCAATTTTTTTCTGGTATCATTATTTTTCTAAAATATATATTTGGGTAATAACATTTATTCCATAACACTCCGAAAATGATTTTTTTGTTCTATTTCATTTTGAATGTTAACAACCAATAAAACAGGCATTTTTTGCTAAATCCGAAGCTAAAACTTCCGGTTAAATAGTTTTTAACTTGCCTGGGCTTGGAGGGGCGGATGGGTGGAAAGAAGTTTGACATAAGAATAAAATTGTTTTGGAGCATTATAGCTAACACTTGAAATCTTCCAATGTCATGTCAGGATAACATCTGCACGCATCTTTGTGTTTTGTATTGTAAGGCTCGGTTTCTCTTGCAAAATTTAATTTTACCGATTTCAACAAATTGTTACATTTTTTTGTTCATTGATAATTTTCAAGTCTAACTACACTACTAACTAAATAATAATTAAAAACAACTTTTATCATAAATTTAAAATTTAGTTTTATATCGAATTTTCAAATAGGAATTATTTAATAAAACTTTTTTATTTTCATTGCGCGAACTAATGATTGAAATTTTTATACCTAGCAATATTTTTGTTTTTTTAAGCAAAAAATTGTTAATTTTTTTTTTCTATTGAATATTTGATTTCATTACTTTTTTGTTCACTGAGTCAGACTAATTTTTTGTGTGCGTTAATAAATGTCCTGGAACTGTTCTCGAACAAAAGTTTTGCAATCATTCATGAGGAACATTGACCTTCCTTAAATAGCGTAAAAAATAGCAATTGTGGCTTGATTTAACGCTAAAAAATTAAAATAGCATATGTAAAATAAAAAAATGGATAACTAACAGTTTTCTGTTTTAGAAACTTTTCAAACTCTTCTCTTTACAACAAAGAAATTTCATTTTTTAAATGGCTACGATTGTAATTAAGTGAAATTTTAGAGTAGTAGCTTATTTTTGTTTATTTTTCAGGGATGTCTTCTTAAATGATCAATATTTTTTTTTGTCGATATTTAAAAACCTTCAAATTTAATTTTAGTTGATTAAGTAAGTGTATTTTATGACAAAATGTTTTTTTTAGATTGCTTAAACCAGTTTAAATATACAATATTGCAGATAAATAAATAAATAAAAAGTCAAGTTTTGGCGGGAAAATCTGTCAGCGGTGCAGATTCAAAGTGCAAATTATCGAAACGAAATAATACAAGCACTGAATAGTTTCGGTTCCTTTTTCGGCAAACAATTTTTTGTCTGTTGTACACTTTTTTTCAGGAGATTAAATTTAAAAAAAAAAATACCAAAAGTTAGAGAATTAATTATCCGATTTAAATTAAAATTTCAGCACTTGTTCATTAATCAATGAATTGTATACTAAATAAGTGATTTTATTAGAGAACAATAACATTGTAGAAATATTTGTGGGATTATCAGCCCCCCCCCCATTTCAATACATCATTCTGAAATTCAGTGAATACTTTTTAAATTGGGAGTTGACTTATTTTTTATAAAGAAAAATTCCTGAAAATATTTCAGTAAAAAAACTTTTGTAATATCAAATCAGAAAATCTTGAAAATTTGTTCAGAAACCTTACAAAAATAATTATTCGATAAATAATTTTTGTTGGAAGTTGATGCATGCATAATTTAAAAAAATATATATTTTAAAAAAAGAATTCTTTCAAATTTGACACGGAAAAAATTTACACTGAATAATAGTGAATTTATTTTTTAAAATTTCAGTGCAGTTTTGAAATTCATCCTGTTGCTGATAACAAAAGAGATCCTTTTTAGAGTTGTTTTTGACATAAAAAAAAATGTAGTTTCAGAAATGTAAAGCAATATTTTAAGAAATGTTTTTAAAAGAATTTTATTTATTTTCACAACTGTTAGATTATTTTTAGTATGGAAGTTCAAAAAGGAAATAATTCTGAAATATTTCCTTTGACTTCTGAATTAGTCAATTTTGTGTTTTCAAATCCATCGAGTTTATTTTTATCATGCCTGTTTTCCTGCTTATTAGTAAATATTTTTAATTTAAAGGAAATTTGGCTGTAACATATTCAATGGCTCAAGAAAAAAAGATTGCATGATATTTGGACATCTGTTTATCATAACAAGTAAGTCTGAAAGAAATCAAAATAAAAGCAATTAATTAACACTAACAGTAACGCTATCAGTTCAAAAGCTATCAATTTCATAATTATTTTTTTTTTTTGTTAGTAGGAATTTCATTATTTTAAGATTTTTTTTAAATTCAGAATTATTAAAAGATTGGGTGCAATTAAATATTTTACATGACATCAAATAGGTAAGAAAATAATTAAAAAAGTGAAAGCAATGAATTAAACTGAAAGGTATTATTTCACTATTTTTTTAATTAATTTCTTTTTTATACTTATAATTAGGTACCACCAAAGATTTATTAAAAAATGAGCAAAACATAATAGAAACAAAGTTCTATTGTCAAAATCTTTTGTGTTATTATTAAAAGGAAGACCAAAGGATTTTAATGTAAAAATTATTATTTTTAAATGTTTTTAGGGACCTTCAAAATGTTGGTTTAAAAATTTTGTTTTTTGATGTCAACATCCAATGTGGAGATTTTTATTTTCATGGGGTGCCTCATATCCATGACCTTTGTTATGATTAATCAAGAATTGTCTCCCCATGTTTCGTTACTCTCTTCTATAGCTATAGTTAGCTATTTCTGTTTACTGGGACTATAAATGGACACTATACGTGAACCTTGTATTCTCAGTTGAATAAAGCTTTCTTTTGTCATTATAACCTTCTTACAAGCTCAGCTAGTCTTACTAAATAATTATTATTCAACATTAGATTTAAACAAAAATTTAAATTTACTTAGGATGAAAAAATCCAACTAATATTCTGATGTAATGGAATAACCTGTCACCCCCATAAGTAACTACACTATAGGTAGTAACTACTTATAAGTAGCTGTAAGTCAATGGACTACAGAGGCTAGCTGAAATCTTTTTCAGCTTTCTGGTCGAACTCTCTGCCTCTGAGCAGAGAGGATCCCAGACGAAGCTATGCTGAAAGGTAGAGTCTCATTCGGAGGGGTAGACCATTTATGCGGGTTCTATAGGGATTTTTTGGCTGAGCCTACAGGCTCGGAAACCCCACATTAAATTCGGCCTTGTGCCACATGCGACTGCATGGGGCAGTAGCTAAATACACTAGCTAGAATCTTTTTTAGCTGTGCTGGTCAAACTCTCTGCCTTCAGGCAGAGAGGAACCAGGATGAGGCTATACTGAAGGGCAGAGTTTCGTCTCAGGGAAACAGCTACCCGACCCCATTTTATATGGGGTCTATGGGAATTTTTGGCTGAGCCTATGGGCTCAGATTCCCCACATTAAACCTGGCCTTGTGCCACATCTGATCGCATGGGGAGGTTAGTAAATATACTAGCTCGGATCTGTTGCGCACGACTCAGACTTATGCAAGAGCTACTAATCTTCCAGTAGTAGCATTCACTACTGGATTGACTTGCGACAACCTTGTGCATAACTGTTACCTTTATTCTTAGTGTACGGGTTCTTTACAATAAACCTTAACTTATTTTATCCACCTTGTTTTTCAAGTATCTATTCCTATTACCACGGAATATAACATATTCTTAAAACAAAAACTATAAATCACTAAATTTTGATGACTTATATGCTCTCCCTTTCAAAAATTGTCCCCAAATAGTTGAACATATCAGGCAGACTAATGTTTACTCAGTTGCTATGAGAGATTACCATTATTTGCATCTGGTCTAACTCTGTAATAACATAATATTAAATTTAGGATTTTTAGGATTGGTCTTCAAATATGTTATCACCATCATCAGTCCCATGACTTGAGTGTGGACATAGGTTCACTGCACAACTGAGCACTTGACCTTTTCCCTCCACATACTTAGGTTGAACGTCAAAGAGTTATTCATGCATAGTGTGTTTTGAACAAGTAGACCTGCTAGAGCCCATCTCTCTCCAGGTCAAATCACAGCCAGTGTCTTCTAACTTGAAGGCTTGCCTTGGCCATAGATATATGGCTCTTTATTTCATCAGGGAAACACTCTGCCCTAGCTGTTGACTAGGAAGTCCTTCACTCAACAATGCCATATCATCATTGCACTGGCTGCATACATAGCAACACCATTGTGTTAGATGGCCATTGAACCTTTTGACAGGTCTTTTTAATCTTGCTGGGTATCTAGCTAACCTTCTCACCAGAAAAGCCTGGAGAGAAAACTGGTTTATTCACTGATGACCCAACTATATGGCAAGTAGTACTGGGTTAGATGGTACCAGTAGGAATCAGAGTAACCTGAAAAATGTGTGAGTCACATCAAATCATTTATCCTATGAATATTAATTTTTATAAAGGCCTATCCAAAAAAAAAAAAAAAAACCTAGAATGTCCATTTTCTGCAGTAAAATAAAATTAAAAATTCACAAATTTTCATAAAATAACCGTTTTATTTATTCATTTACACTCAGCTTTCTGTATTTACAAAATTGTGCTTCCTAAAATGTATTTTCCATCAAACA